CATGGGGCTGTTGGGCGGCCCCACGCCCGCAGCTCCTCCAGTGCAGCTCCACCGCCCCAGCCGTTCCACGCAGGGTTTCCTCCGTCTGTCAGTGTACAGCAGGTATTAATTGTGCTGTATCAACTTTTCCATGATTTTGCCTGGGGCATCAACATCAAAATCACTGGCCTATAGTTACCCAGATCATAACATTTACCCTTTTTAAAATATAAACACAACATAAGCTCTCTCTCCTCTCTCACCCAAGTCCTTCAGAATTCCAAGATTTGTTAAATATCAGCATCAATGGCTCAGAGAACTACCCAGCTAATGCTTTTAAAATTCTTGGGTGCAAGTTAGGTAGTCATGCACATCTGAAAATGTTTAGCTTTAGCAGTTGCTTTAACAGCCTTTAAATAGAACAGGGGTGAGCAAACTTTTTGGCCCGAGGGCCACATCTGGGTATGGAAATTGTATGGTGGGCCATGAATGCTCAAGAAATTGGGGGTTGGCCTGTGGGAGGGGGTGAGGGCTCTGGGGTAGAGCCAGAAATGAGGAGTTCAAGGTGCGGGCTGGGGCTCCGGGCTGGGGCAGGGGGTTGGGGTGCGGCGGGTGGTGTGGCTCTGGCTGGGGGTGTGAACACTGGGGTGGGGCTAGAGATGAGGGGTTGGGGATGCAGGAGGGTACTCTGGCCTGGGACCAAGGGGTTCGGAGGGCAGGAGGGGGATCAGGGCTGGGGATTGGAGCGCGGGAGGGGGTCAGGCTCTAGTTGGTGGTTACCTCGAGCAGCTCCTGGAAGCAGTGGCATGTCCCCCCTCTGGCTCCTACATGGAGGCGCGGCCAATGGGAGCTGTGGAGGCAGTGCTTGGGGCGGGGGCAGTGTGTGGAGCCCCCTGGATGTCCCTATGTGTAGGAGCCAGATGGGGGACATGCTGCTGCGTCCAGGAGCTGTGCAGAGCCACAGCACCTGCAGAGCGGGGCAAGCCCCTGACCCCGCTCTGCAGCTGGAGCTCAAGGGCCGGATTAAAATGTCTGAAGAGCCGTAGTTTGCCCACCCCTGGAATAGAAAGTATTTCATTACCATTGTAAGCCTGGAGTATGTGATCCAGCTTCTTCCCAAATACAAAACGGACATATTTATTGAATACTTTTGCCTTTTCTGCATCAATATTGGCAATTTTCCCATCCCTATCTGGTAACGGATTGATACAATTGCTAGGATTTCTTTTGTTTCCCAAAATCATACCTGTGGAAACCTGGATCATGATTGTTGTGGCTGTCCTCCTGCAGCCAAGGATGAGTGTTAGCTTTAACACAGCCTCTACAAACTAGCTAATTTTACATAAAACCATGCCCAGGCCCTCTTTTTTTTCTGAGTTACAGAACACAATCACAAATTATCTCCTCATGAACATACTGTAACCCTGACATATGGATAAAAAACACCTATTAAGAGAGCACAGTTCAAAAGGCATGTGTGAGAAATATGTATGGCTCACATTGATACTTACATGGTGCTAGTGGTGCAGAGAGTAAACCACTAGGAAATCTGTATTTCTAATTTTTTTTTTCTAAATTGGGGTAATCTTTGCGATAAATTGTCATCTGTAGATTTATTTTAGGCAATGGTATTCTGTTAAGAACGCTTCAGAACTCTTTCTTTTAAAAAGACTTATTGAGACAGAATTCCTGATTATCATTTGGTCTTTTGGTACAACCAATAGAGATCGCATCTCTCAAGTCATCCTTATCTATCTACCTAACTAGATGACCTCTGATAGTAGGAATCTGCTATTGACCATGTGATACTTCACAATAGTTTCTCCAATGGAAACAATCATATCTACTTGGTCACTGAAAATATTCTTCTGCCATCACTGAAAGGTGTGATTTTTTAAACCTTACTGAAAGTAAGTGTTGTCACAAACAAACCTAAAGTCCTCTTATAGCACCCCTCATTTCAAATTTCAGGTGAACAGGATACAAGCCACATAGAAAACCATCCACAAACTATGGGCATTGGTATAGATGGTTTGACTTTCTCTTTTGTCTTTCGGAATCAGAAGGATATGATGCACTTTATTTTTCTTGAAAATTCTTGTCCTGCCCAGTCCCATCTACCACGGAAGTTCAAGACTGCATCAATGTATTTGAATTATCCTTAAATTTCTGGCCTAAATCTGGGAATGTGTGTACAGATATTTGGCCTGAAGATAGCAATATGTCAATGCCTGACATTTCTGAGTCTGGGAATGAGTCAAGCCCTGACCTGCATTCAACTGGCAATGAGCCAAGCTTAAACTTACATGAGGTTGGGACCCACAAAGTCCAAGGATCTTAATCTGCAAAAGCACAGGAATTTGCAAGATTTGGCCTGGTTCATGTTTTGCTTTCAGCCCTTTCCCTCAGCCTTTGTGTGTCACATGGCTTCTTAGATGTTTTGTGGCAGAACTGTGTTTTCGTATGTTTGTACAGCACTTAGCACAATGAGACCCTCTTCCTTACTGAGGCCTGGGTAATACAAATATTAAATTATAATAAATAATAGAAGCCTGCACAGTTCTTTGATAACTAGAGTGGACTAGATAACTTCAAACTGTAAGTCTTACTCTTGGGGGAAATCTGTGCCACTGCGTGTGCGCAGAATTCATGTCCCCCGCAGATTTCTTTGCTTCCCCACTGAAAAATGACTTTCTGACAGGTAAGCAAAGGGAATCTGCAAACACAAACACGCACCAGTCCCTAGCTGTGCAGGTTCATTGTTTCAGGCACCCAGAGCAGCTGGCGGAGAGGTAAATCACCACAGGGCTGGAGACGCCCCAGCCAGTGGCTCCTACCCTGAGCCGGCATCAGCTGCTAATCGCAGCTGGGCTGGAAGCAGGAGAGGATGGGACTTCCTCTTCCCCTGCAAAGAATGGCTGGGGCTGTGTCAGACCCACCTCCAGATACCTTCACCAGCTGCAGGAATCTCAGCATCCTCCCCTGCTTCCTGCCCCCATTGCTCCTCAGCTGCGGGGGGGAAAGGGGGTCACTGTACAGGGAGAAGCTCCCCCAGCCGCCCAACCCCCATGCATCTGGACCTCCTATACCTAGACACACCAAGCCTCACGCCGTGCACCCAGACCCCCCCTAGCCCTTCATACCCAAACCCCACCCAACTTCAACCCCTGCATCTGGAGCCTCCCTGCACCCAGACCACCTCCCACTGATCTCCCTGCATTCAAAGCCCCATCCTGATGAGCCCCAGCCCCTGCACCTCCCTGAGCCCCCACATCCAGATCCTCATGCCACTGACCTCCAACTAGCTGCACCCAGATCCCCACCCCACCAAGCCCCACTCCCCCAGCACCCAGACACCCCCACTGAGAGCCCCACACCCAGACCCCTCTGCTGAGCCCCAACAACCTTCACCTGGAAGCCCCCCTGCAGAGTCTGATTGCCCCCACACCTGGAACCCCCCCAACGAGCCTCTGTGCATCCAGATCCCCCCACACCTAGATCCCCCAATGAGCTGCCTGCACCCAGATTGTCCCACACAGAATCCTCTCACCCCCCACTTGGATCCCTCCGCACTGAGCTCCACACTTGGATCCTGCCTGCCCCACACCTGGTGCAGGGCAGCAGGGCTCCAGGGTGTTTCTGGGGCAGGCCCAGGCCTTGGGCTAGGTCAGGGTCATGTGCAGCCTCACCACTGAGTCCATGTCCCAGGGGTGGGGAGGCTGCAGGGTGATGCCCACCTTCATACAGCCAGTGGCCTGTGCTCCCCACTGCCATGCTGGAGCCTCTGCATTTAGTTATTGACAAATAAAACTTGCAGAATTTTAAAACATTGTGCACAGAATTTTAATTTTTTTGACGCAGAATGCCCTCAGGAGTAAAATCTGACCAGCCAGGGTACCACTCTAATGTAACAGATTCACCCTTGAGACTCAGTTCCCATGTGATTTACAGTCATGTGATGTGAGCTTATGTTGCAAATAATATGACCCAGAGGTAAAGAATATCTGTCACTTGGCACTCTAAAGGCATTTATTCCTTTGAAGGATATTGGCTGGAGTGGTATTTTCAGTAAACTCTTCAGAGTACCTTGTTCCATGGTTAACACAGATATTAACATTCATCCAGTTCTCCTTATTCACAAACATATCAAAGAACAAATATAACCAAAATCAAGAAAAAAAAATCAATCTAGATGCTTTGACACATTTCTGCCCTGATTAATTAAATAAATTAAAACACATAAATAAAAGGAAATAAACAAAGACTGCTGCTCTTAGGATTTATTTTATTATTCCCAAAGGGTCTTGTCATTGTTTTTTAAACAGATATATGTTATATCATCTTGCTTATTACATTGTATAAAAAAGGTATGGAATTATACAGTCATTGAGTGTTAGCAAACAGTAAGAAACCATTTAAAACATAAAATAGCTGTATCTTTAATCCAAATTTCCTTTGGCAGAGTAGTGGTTTTACTAGTGACAACTTTTTTGTTATTGATGCCATGATTTAACAGAGGTTGTATGAGTAAATTTGAGAAGCAATTCCTAACCACAACACTGAACGGTCAAAACATCATGGATGGAATCTACCTCATGTTCAGAGCCTCACAGAAAGCCCAAGATGCCACTTAACTGTTTCAATTGGGTTGGTTGTATGGGGCATTTATGGGCAAGCATCCATGGAAGGGGGTCTCTATGTCCCTTGTGTACCATGAAGGGTATTTCCAGGCCCATTCCTTATAGGTCAATGTGGAAGAGATCACTAAGATTGGACCATAGGTTCCAGGCCACCCCTTACCCCTCACACTGAAAACTAGAAGAGTTGCTGAGGAGGAACTCTGCGGCAGCCATACTGCCTGCCTTCAGGTTAAGAAGTGAATGGCACCTCCAGAACCCCCACTTAATTCCCTGCAAAGAGTCTGTTACCTGGGCTTTGTGTGGAGAAGAGTGAATTTCACCCCATATTTTTAAGACAAATGTTGAACTGTATTTTCAGACCTATACACATTCTAAGAAGATTTTTGGTATTTACAGTCAAACTTGCATAAAGGGGAACATTTTCAAAATGGATGCTCAATTACATCCACCCACTAAAACATGTTCACTTATGACGGATTTCTGTATGGAACTCCCCCTGCTGGTCAAAATCCCCCTGAAAAAATCCATTTTCCTAAAGTCGAGTTTCCTTTTCTGGCCAGTAGGTTGTCTGAATTAAATAGTCGCTATTGACAAAATTATCTTTTCTGTTTTGCACCGAGACCATTCCTCTCCCTCCATTGGCTGCGATGTTTTCGTCTTGTGGAACATACCTTTTCTTTAAGACGAAAAGGACCGCAATACTCAAGAAAACGGACATGGTGCCCAAGACCACGGTTAATCCCAAATATATGTATCTATAAAAGAAGAATCTCAATCAGTCTTCCATAAAAGTAATACACAATTAATGCCTCAGTTACATCTGAAAGAACTCTGCAGAAGGGAGTCATTCATAATTCTGATAAAATTGGTAAAACTGAATGAATATGGTGTTAATGCAAGCTGCTTGTTTAACACCCTGAGTTTTAGCCATATATCAGGTACAGCACAGGCAATGGCAGTATGAGCTTCCCACACACTGAACCTACCAATGTCCTTCAGTGGGAGAGGAATGTTTACATCTCTTTAGCAGTCAATTCAAACCTTGGCAGTTTCATCAGAGATACCAACAAGACTGGCATTTCTGTGATGCAGGCATTTATTATTAATAATTATGAACTATTCTAATTATTTGTTACTGTGTTACAGAAATACCTGGAGTCCCCAAATGAAAATGGAGTCCTGCCAGGTTCCTAATCTTTCTATTTCTTTCCATAGGACTATTCAAAACGGGACTTACTCCTTACCTAACTTCTTGTCTCCTCAGTGGTGAGATCTACCAGCAGCCCTGCTTCCTCCAAGTCTCTTTTTTACCAGAAAAGAGGAGAATATTATATGCCAACCCCATTTCCCAGCATGTCTTGTTGTTCTAGTCTCTAGATGTTGTTCCCTAGAACATCTCTGAGAATGTCTCTGTCCTGGGAAGAAATCAGTAACTATACTGAACCTAGGCTGGTCCTTAAAGAGCTAGCACACCTTGTTACCGGCTTTTGTGGCTCCCTGACAATAATGCCTTGTTGTGATCCAGCTCTGTATTGTCCCAATGTGCAGCAGCAATTAGCTACCACAGTCTGGTCTGCACTAGAGCTAGTTGGGAAAAAAAACTGGGGGTGAGGGGGAGAGATGTTTCTGCAGAAAATTTAAACTTTCTATAAAAAGGAGGGGGAACTGAATAAATATCAGTCACAAAGTGCCCCAAACTGAAGAGTTTCAGCCCCAAATAGCCCCAAACCAAAATATTTTTGGTTTTCCATCATTTCCCCACCTCCCATTTTTCTGGTTTTGGGGTTTTGCTTTCAAGAAAAGCAGATACCTTCCATGATCATTTTTGTTTAATTAAAAACCCAACTGTCCATCCAAAAAAGTTTTGACCATAATTTTCTACCAGCTCTAGTCCTCAGTGTGTAAACATAGTTAAAATATGTGAGCAGAAAGAATGAATTCACCAAATCTCTTACCTAAATGCATTAGAATCATATAGTCTACACGCTCCTCTTCCCCCACACCTTTTGCTTCCCCATTTCAAGCATGTGGTGTCTATTGACACTCCAAAATACACAGGGGCTGGGACTCCTGCTGTAAGTATTAAACAAAGAGCATTAATGTGACTTTTGCATTAAAATATTATTAATTTTATAGATTTATTAACAATATGATACACAATAATAAGAACATAAGAATGGCCACACTGGGTCATACTAAAGGTCCATCTCACCCAGTATCCTGTCTCCAACAGTGGCCAATGCCAGGTGCTTCAGAGGGAATGAACAGAGCAGATAATCATCAAGAGATCCACGTCATGTTTGTCGCCCATTCCCAGCTTCTGGCAAACACAGGCTAGAAACACCATCCCTGCCCATCCTGGCTAATAGCCATTGATGGACTATCCTCCATGAACTTATCTAATTCTTTTCTGAACCCTGTTATAGTCTTGGCCTTCACAACATCCTCTGGCAAAGAGTTCCACAGGTTGACTGTGTGTTGTGTGAAGTAATACTTCCTTTTGTTTGTTTTAAACCTGCTGCCTATTAATTTCATTTGGTGACCCCTAGTTCTTGAGTTATGAGAAGGAATACATAACACTTCTTTATTTATTTTCTCCATACCCATCATGATTGTATAGACCTCTAGCATATCCCCCCCTTAATCGTCTCTTTTCCAAGCTGAAAAGTTCCAGTCTTATTAATCTCTCCTCATAATAACAACTTGATTATATATATTAGGCTGATGTGAGCCAGTCATATCAGTTGCTTAAATAAGGAGTCAGATCCTGCATTCCTTGCACACTTAACTCTCCCACTGACTTTAGTGGGTGTTTAATGTGAGCAAAGGATATATGATCAAGCCCTAATGCCCATTGAAGCCAGTAGAAAGACTTTAAATCTGCCCTTGACATCAGTGGCCTGTATTTAGGCAAATTCTCAGTGAAGTCAATGAAAATATGTCTGAGTAAAGACTGAGCAGAAACAGAGGCCCTATTCTATTCTGTTCTAGTCATTATACTATGACAATCGCCATAGTGTCTCTGAATAACTAGGTTAGGGAGAGGAAACTCAAATATGGTTTAATGTTGTATGAAAAAGAACAACTCTAGAAATAATACTGCTGTTTCCTTGTTGTCTTTGCATATTCTTTCAGTACTTGTTAACATTTTGATAATAAATGGAATTTTTTTACAGGTTTCACAAAACACAAATTCTCTCACAGTTCTCCTATTCCTAATATTTGTCATATTTTTACCATTTGATATGCATATGGCAGCTAAAGTTAATTCTAGACAACATTCTAGGTCACTGCTGCCATAAGCAGTTAATAAGAACAGTACTACAATGTATCCAAATAAGATGAAGTGTAGAACCAAACTTACCAAGAACTCTTATTGCCAAGGTATAAATACCGAGCGCAAAAGATTTTAGTTGTGGTTTAATGCACCTAAAAAAAAGAGAAATGATTGTTAAAGTGAAATAAAACATTAATTACAAATGGAGGGCCTTGATTTTCCACTCTATTATGCTAGTTTTACTTTGAGGTAATGCCATTGATTACAGTGGCACTACAACAGGCATGAATTTAATGTGCTGGCGTGAAAATCAGGCCTAGGGATTCTTAACATCTAAATTCAATCTGAAATTTTAAGAAGACAGCAATGCATCTTCAAACTGGAACAACTTTTAGGAGTTACTCACACACTCCACAATCTGTGGAAAGTTAGTTCTGCAAACACACAGCCAAGCATTTCAAAAGCCTTCTGACTCAATGTAGTGATGGCTAGTAATATGAACATAGCTCTGATGTAAGTAAATGAGTTTTGCAGTCACAAGGACTGCAGGGCCATGCCCTTACATACATAGCAAACAAACAAACATTCTGACCCTGGCCAGCAAAGACCTTAAGCACAGGCTTAACTTTTAGCATACGAATAGTCCCACTGAAATGAATAGGACTACTGATGTGCTTAAAATTAGGCATATGTCAAAGTGCTTTGCTCTACCTGATACATGCATTTCCTTGTGTTAACGGTAGTTAATAATACAATTTATTAATGTCTTGGCCATCCTGTTAAGCATATGTAAGTAGCTCAATAAGAAGGCTGAAGCTAAATCTGTACTGTGGATAAATATAATGTTTTGGAGTTTAAGCCTACAAGGTACTGGGTGCCTCCTGAGCTAAGGAGTACACACAAATTCCACTGAAATCAAGGGTTGTGGAATCAAGGGTTTCCCCACACCTATGGGGAAAGTCACCTATGAAGACACATTATTTTCCTCAAAACCATTTCCAGAATATTATCTAAGGATGGCAGCAATGACATACTGCAAGAAACAGTAATTTAGTGTCTTGAAAAGACATTCCAGGAAGTCGTCCCTTCAAAGGGTATTTTAAAAGAATTTTAAAGCCTCTTCAGAAGATTCTCATTTATACTACAGCCCCTCATTGACACGGCTCTGACTGACCACTTTCAGGGCCCCGTACACAGCCACAGCCGTGTCAAGAAGCCTTAGTGTCAATGATAATCAGGCCCTCCATCTATTTAACTAACACTCAAAAGTACACAAGAGGCCTGCATCAAAAACATAACTAAGTATCCAAAGTCAAAAGAACTTCTTAGCAACCGCATTGATAGGCCTGATTCTCCAATGCCCCGCCCTTGTGCAGTTATTTACACCAGTACAAAAGTAGGTGTAACGTGTTAATAGAGCAGAATAATCTCATATTTTTACACTCACTTTGTACTAGTGCAAATGATGACACAAAGGTTCAAAGAAATTAGTGAATCAGGCCCCATCTACAAATAAAATTAATACATTCAGATGCTGGAAACCAAGAAAGAGAGATTTAGTATCTGAAATCTGCTTCTTTATATTTAAATTTCTCCTTTATTTAAATTATTCCTTATATTAAGGAGTTGCTCCAATTTGACTGAAAATTTCATCAGAGCATTTGTTTAACTAGTACAGGGGTAGGCAACCTATGGCACGCGTGCCAAAGAGGGCACACAAGCTGATTTTCAGTGGCACTCACACTGCCTGGGTCCTGGCCACCTGTCCGGGGGGGGGGGCTCTGCATTTTAATTTAATTTTAAATGAAGCTTCTTAAACATTTTAAAAACCTTATTTACTTTACATACAACAATAGGTTAGTTATATATTATAGACTTATAGAAAGAGTCCTTCTAAAAATGTTAAAATGTATTACTGGCACGCAAAACTTTAAATTAGAGTGAATAAATGAAGACTCGGCACACCACTTCTGAAAGGTTGCCGACCCCTGAACTAGTATATCAGCTCCTCAATAGAAGCTATATTTCCCCATGCACTGAAAGCCAGTCCATTCAGAGACAACTTAGGGTGACCCTTCTTCACTTTATAGCTCTCTATTAATAGCATGCCTTTACTTAAATTACTCCCGTCTGCATTTCATTAATGTCACATAACTTCAATAGTTTCTAAAGTCCTTTGGCAATCCTAATTAGCCTAATACCTTTAAAGGAACACTACAATAAATGAATCAGTCACTGGGCATAAGCACATTTCACTGATTTTAATCCTGTAAACCCTTGAAGCAAATGTCACTAAATCTTAAAGTCTTGTAGAGATTTAGCTTCTGCATTCATATGCCACATTTGGATCTCACATTTCATATTTTTGCCAGTTTGCACCAAGTACCAGAACCAACTTTTAATGTTAGAGTTGGCTGAAAATGCCACCAAAAAAAAAATCATTGGCAAATGGTTGCTTGAATGAAAACTGCAAATTCACTTGGGCAGTAATTTTGTTTCTAAAGTGCACATATTTGCATTCTGTGAACATAATCTCATTTTTTGTTCATAAAATTTTTCTTGGAAAGCCAATCATTGAATGATTTCACAATAATGAGCAACTTCAAATATGTTTGGAGATGATTCACGAACAGACAAAGGAACTGATTTATTTTGTAAAATGGATTCATTTTGTTAATTTTCTAGGGGCCAGATTCTGATGCCCTTACTCATGTTGAGTAGTTTGCAATTAGTCCCATTGGTTTCAATGGGATTACTCAGAGAGTGAGGGCATCAGAATCTGGCCCACAGTAAATTAACTAAATTAACTGAATTTTTTAAAATAAATGTAGTCCCTTTTTCTGTTTGCAAATTATATGCAAAGTTTTGCATATAGTTTTATCTTCTGATTTATGTCATGAAAAGTGTTTTTTAAAATTTGCGATTATTGCTGAAAGCATTTCAAAACGGTTCCATATAGATAATTGAAAATGGAAAAATCACATGGTAGCAAATGTCTAGGTGTGTGGAGTCCAGGCAACTTCAACTGACTTTGACAGAAGGAGTTCTATCCTCCCTAAATATTTCTTCAGATAGAAATATAGATGCCTTTGAGTTGAAAATTTAAATGGTGGCTTAATAATTTATTATGCTTTTATATTTCCTACACTCATTCCAACAATGACCACTGCTCATTCTGTACTGGGAATTTTTTGCAGTTGATGTTGCTTCACAAATGCAACTCCCCTCTTAGATGTGCTGTCCTGCTGGAAGAAGGGGCTTGTACAGGGCAGCTTACCCTGGTTTGAAACAAAACTGGTGCAAACAAACAAAACAAGAATAGACAGGGTCTTAGTGACATTGAACCTGAAATCATCAATACATTTCAAGTAGGGCTGTCATGCGATTAAAAAAATTAATCAAGTTGTTAAGCAATAATGGAATACCATTTATTTAAATTTTTTGGATGTTTTGTATATTTTCAAATATATTGATTTCAATTACAATGCAGAATACAAAGTGTACAGTGCTCACTTTATATTTATTTTTGATTACAAGTATTTGCACTGTAAAAAACAAAAGAAATAGTATTTTTCAATTCACCTCATACAAGTACTGTAGTGCAATCTCTTTATCCTGAAAGTGTAACTTACAAATGTAGATTTTTTTTGTTACATAACTGCTCTCAAAAACAAAACAATGTAAAACTTTAGAGCCTACAAGTCCACTTAGTCCTACTTCTTGTTCAGTTAATTGCTAAGACAAACAAGTTTGTTTACATTTACAGGAGATGCTGCTTCCTGCTTCTTATTTACAATGTCACCTAAAAGTGAGAACAAGTGTTCGCATAGCACTTTTGTAGCTGGCGTTGCAAGGTATTTATGTGCCAGATATGCTAAACATTCATATGCCCCTTCATGCTTCAGCCACCATTGCAGAGGACATGCTTCCATGCTGATGATGCTTGTTAAAAAAATAATGCGTCAATTAAATTTGTGACTGTACTCCTTGAGGCGGAGAATTGTATGTTTCCTGCTCTGTTTTACCCGCATTCTGCGTATATTTCATGTTATAGCAGTCTCGGATGATAACCCAGCACATGTTTGTTTTAAGAACACTTTCACAGCAGATTTGACAAAACGCAAAGAAGATACCAATGTGAGATTTCTAAAAATAGCTATAGCACTTGACCCAAGGTTTAAGAATCAGAAATGCCTTCCAAAATCTGAGAGGGATGAGATGTAGACCATGCTTTCAGAAGTCTTAAAGGAGCAGAAACTACAGAACCCAAGCCACCAAAAAAGAAAATCAACCTTCTGCTGGTGGCACCTGACTCAGATGATGAACCTGCATCGGTCTCCTTTGGATTGTTATCGAGCAGAACCCATCATCAGCATGGACGCATGTCCTATGGAATGGTAGTTGAAGCATGAAGGGACACATGAATCTTCAGCGCATCTGGCACGTAAATATCTTGCAACGCCGGCTACAACAGTGCCATGCAAACACCTGTTCTCACTTTCAGGTGACATTGTAAACAAGAAGCGGGCAGCATTATCTCCTACAAATTATAACCAAGTTTGTTTGTCTGAGTGATTGGCTGAAGTAGGACTGGATGGACTTGTAGGCTCTAAAGTTTTACATTGTTTTATTTTTCAGAGCAGTTATTTTTTATACATATTCTACATTTGTAAGTTCAACTTTCATGATAAAGAGAATGCACTACAGTACATGTATGAGGTGAATTGAAAAATACCGGCGGATCAAAGCAAGTTCGATATAACGCGGTTTCACCTATAATGCAGTAAGATTTTTTGGCTCCCGAGGACATCATTATATCGGGGTAGAGGTGTATATCTGTGATTATGCTGGAATCACACTTGAAATTATGTTACTTCAGTATCTCATGGTGGCATTTTTGCATAAAGCCCGATAGTCAGAGTATTTCCAGCTTTAGCACTGTCTGTCCAGGATGATACTTAAACTCTTGCAGTGAGAAAGGGTATATGTCAAATGAGTTCTTTCAAAAGTTGGGACAATTTGAAATACAATCTCCACACTCTCAGTTACGTAGATGTTATTTTTTTGCATTTTGGAAGCTAGGCAAGGGAAGCTGAAGGGAGTCTGGCCAAAGGAACTGAGGAGGAAAGATTTTCAAGAGGCAGTGAGGCTGATGCCTAAAACGTAGGTTCTTGGAAGTCAGAGAGAGCAGACTGAAGCTGAACAAATCAAGATTATACATAGATCATATTATATCCCCTATATATTTTCTGAAAATTAGCTTGCAAGCCTCTATTCAGTACTGGATAAGTCATGGTGCCACTGGTCCACTATTACATGTGACTGTCTCTGTGAAAGGCAGTTATTGATACAATAGAAAAAAAATCTCAGCTAAATTCTACTTTTGTTATGTTGCATTCAAGATTTTTAACTGATAATATGGAATTACTAATTTGGCATGAATCCTAAGGGGAGGATCTGAGTGGATTTTCAGCTTCTGGTTTGGTTTTAGTCTGTCTCTAGTTTCTTTTGTAATTATTTAATACACACACACACACACACACACACACTTAAATCAATGGCATTTTTGGATATTCAGTACCTATGAAAATTTGACTGACTATGCGTACACACAAGGCTTGATTCTCTGATACTCTAAGATCATTTGCCACCATTCTTGCAGTTTAAAGGGCATTTAAAGTTATGTAAGTTTCCACTATCAGAGCTATAAGAAGTGGCCT